CCCTCCCTCGTGCCCTAGAGAGTTAATCACACATTCCATAATAATCACCCCCCCCCTCCCTCCTTCCCCACCCCTCGTCCTCTCTTCAATTCCATCATTCAAATGACCCAGAAAAAGGACGCAAAGACATGTTATGAAGAGCGATGAAAAATGAGGGGTGGTAACGAAATGTTTCCCCGCCGCCCAAGCAAAAAACATACTATATAAGTGCAAGCATCAATACCTACCTCTCTAACCCTCTCCCCCCACCCCCCTGCGTATGTCCAGAAAGAGACACTAAAAGACGCTGTCATCATAAAAAGCGAGCGAGAGAGAAAGACGCGATTATCCAAAAACTGGATCAAAACTTGCGGTGGTTGTGTGCTGTAAATATATAATCAATGTGTGTGTGCGTGACATAGGAATGAGGGGCGAAAGTTGGGGGGGGGGGGGGAGGAACTGAAGTTTGTGCTTTGGTCGTAAGAGGTAATTGAGAGTTGTCAGAACATTCTAATTCTCAAACATAATTAGTGCTACTTCAACTGAGCTATGAATGCAAATATTGATGCTTCGGGAATGTCATAATAACCAATAGAAGGAGAGAAATGACATAAGGAACAATAGTTATATCCACGAACTGGATCAAAATATGCAGCATATGTTTAACCGATAATTAATTATCACAGAAGACAAGGAGCAATAGCTTGGACTTAAAACGACTTGGACTATTCCATGACTTGAGTCATTTGAATGGAAATTTTGCATCCTACATACTCGAAACGCAACACTAAGGTTGTCTAATCAGGACAGAAGGTCAAAAGTTAACCACCACTGGTCAAAGGTACGCGTCTGCGAAAGGGGGAGCTATCAAGAGTTCAAAGTCTATCGGTTCACACACCAAGTGAACGAGGAACGACGGTAGCAGGGATTCACGTTCATCCCCAGCATGACTTCACGACAAGCTACTCCTCTCTAACCAATAAGATGTCTAGAAAACGATTTTACAAGAAGTCACAAACCTATTCCATATTCATTTATTTTTTTTGAAAAAGGTACGACGGTAGGTCCGTGCAGAGAGATAAGCTCAAAGAGTATCCTTCCCTAGGAACTAAACTAGATGTAGAAACTGGTGAAGGTGATTTCCCCCCTGTTCCTTAACCATTTTAAAATATTCCGAATTTAGAGTTTCCCATTTTCGGAGCTTACTCGTTATCTACTAAGTTTGAAATATTCAGAGTCTTTCAAGGATGTGTTTTTCAACTAGTTAAATAATAGAGGGAAGAGTAAATAAATATTTATTCATATCACTTGATTCAAGTATTTACGGAAGCGAATCGTCGAGAGGAGAGCTCAACATCAGCGGGTCGTTTGAAATTCATTTGCAAATGAAGTAAAGCATGAACGAGGCATTAAGACGCAAAGGATCTGCAATGCCAGATGATAGATATGATGGCAATCACGTGACAAAATAGCGCTCGGCTTTAAAGAACAAGATGAAAGGTGTCAGAAAATGGATCGTGAATGAGAGTGAGAGATAGATGGGGGAGAGGGGGGGGATAGAAAATGACAGGAAAATAAGGGTTCATAAATCCCGCAAGTGGCATCAAAATCTCGTGTTTGATTGCGTTATAATAACCGAAGACCTGGATATCGAAATCACGTGACATTTAAACTTCAAACCGTTGAAGGGGTGGTAAAAAGTACGCAGAAAAAAATAGCCTAATTAACTATTTAACATTCGAATTCAAATTCCCATGAGAATACTAAATAGGAAACCACCTTGAAATTAGTCCCTGGAAATTCAGAGCATTAGAAATTCCTATCCGGTGCCAGTAAAGAAACCCTACCCCCACCCCCTAACAGAAATAATCCACAAAATGGCAGGTATAGCACTCTTTATTCAATATCTATCCCCCCCCCCCACTATTGGTATTAGAAGCAAGTCTTTTCCGAAAGTTATTTCCTGTTAGATGCCAGAAAGGCTAAATTTAGTAACCAGAACGATGACGAATCGGTAGGTGCCCCCCTTTGTGTTAAGACTCCAAAAGAGGCGAACATGGCCGGCATTTGTGAAGGGGAAAAAGTAAACGAGGAAGGAATGCCAAAACATGATCGCCTTGCCCCGTTGCCTTTAAGGTGACAGGTGGAGGGAGGAGAAGGAAGTGAGGTAATAGAAAAGTGAACAATCCAATATAGGGTAGAGATCTTACACTAGTCACGAGAAGGTTTTTTAATGTGTTAGGCTAGTCTCTATACGTCAACAAAGATGAGAAAAAGGCGACAATTATTTCTAATTTGCTTCAAAGAGAGAGAGAGACTTTAAGGCGCTCATACAATGCGAATTCCTATATTGATCAGAATGGGGTGCGAGATATACTTATCTCCACGGGGTGCACCCCCTGGGCAACGTATACTCATACTCTAAAAACGCCCATAAATCTGCAGTTGACTTCCGACTTCAAACTGCCATGACCCCACTGTATGCCATATTCGATCGCTTCCACGAAGCTCACATTACCTTCTATCACAACCTTTGTGTCTGTCCGTCTCTTTAGTACCTGTGAATCACTAATCTGCTCCCTCCCCTCAACTTTTGTGACTTTGATGTTCCTCCTCCCTGTGAAGCCCGAAGTCAACTAAAGGGCTAATGATAGCTATCATAAAGCCTGTAATTGGATATAAATATTGACCAGAATTACTCAAATAGCAATTCGCATTATTGGCAGCGCTCATTAGAGCATCGATCTTATAATCTCCGGCTTTCCAGACATGAACGTTGGCCGGGACAACACACAATATGGGTTACCAGAGCATTTAGAAAGTACTCTACTTAAATAATCAATAATGTGAACATTTCATTAATTAGGTGAGAGACTGGTTCTGCATACAATGTGACCAAGGTAAAAGAGAGATTACGTGTGCTGCGCCATGCTGAGGGTGATACTGAGAGCCTACGAGGGAGTCCAAGTAATATTCAGTATTAACTACTTTTAAATAAGCAAAAATACTTTTAATTTTCCTTTAGGTATATACACGGGACATCTTTTGTTTTGACCACCCTGTATCTTATTTGCGCGTATATCAGTTTATGAGGTCAAATAAAATTTAACCCACTCCCAGTGCTTGACATTCTGATTTGCGAACTCAGATAGTCTTACCAGTACCCTCTGTATAGCCAGCTCGTGATCATACGCACTTTGAATGACAGTCTTGGGAGGTTAGTGAGAAATTACCTATCTCAGTTGGAACAAAGGAAAGAGAGATACTCACTAGGGCTATTCGAAAGCGCTGGAGAAGCACTATGTGACGAAGTAGCCGTCTGTTGTCTGGGACTCAAGTTCCTATGCCGACGTTCCACTACAGGAGAACTTGAGGAATTTTGTCCCAGTTGCTGTCGAGCCCGATGGTCTATCGCCAAAAGCTGGGTCTGAGAAGTCGATGAATTATGCTGATTCTGCTGATTGGTGACTGTCTTAGGGGGTGGAGGCGACTGAGAACGAACCCGACATGGGTCACCACCATGACCCAAGGGTGAGTGACGAGGAGATGAACCGGTTCCTATGGGTGGTGAGGCCATTCTGAAAAAGGGCACGAAATACATGTATGCTAAGCTAGTAGAAAAGGATCCGAACTGTTCGAAATTGTCAAAAAAAGAGAGATTTCTATGGAAATATTTCATATATAAATGGATTTCCAAGGAGAGTGTTACCCGGATGAAATATCAAAGTTAATAATTTCCTTCCATTAATCTCCTTTGCTCCCCCGCCCCTTTTCCTCCTAATACAAATGTGCAATTGCTTTGTTTTGCAATAATCGATAGCACTTATTAAACGCGAATGCAAGCAAATCAGTAAATTAAAAAGCTGCACGTTACTTTTGCCTCCGTAAAATCAAATCAACTGATTTGTGTTTACGCATACTTCCGATCGGCAATTGTCTAAAAAAATGACAATTCGCCCTTGAGATCCTTTTGTTTAAAAAAGTTGGAAAGCATGCAGGACAATTCAATTTAATTGCATAGTGGTAAAAAAAACATTTACCTGGTAATGAGTTCTAGGACTCTATAGCACGCACTCTAATTAATTCTACACCATTTTTAAATTAGGTCTATGATACGTCTTCATCACTAGTAGGCTAATAGGGGTAAGTTGGAAGGAATAAATATCACTCCAATATTAGTTATACTACATCAGTGTCGAAAGTCATCTCATCATATATGTACCTCCTCATATAAGCCGAGGTCGTCAAAATCCGCCTTTCCAACCCCCTCCCCCCCCCCCCCTAATGAAACCAAAACCAGAGGACAAGCAAGCAAACTGTACACAACATTTACAACTTAAAACAATTAGGATGATTGCTCTTTGGGGGAGGAGGGGGGGGGGGTCAATTCGAGTTAATTTTATAGACAGCTCATAAACTAAGGGAGTTTTCCAGGACTTATTCCATGTCTTAACTTTGCGCGACAGGATACAAGAATCTAAACAATCCGAGGGACTGTTGCAAATACATTGAGTGACACTTTTAAGTTGGTAAAATATATATATATATATATCCACTCTCTGAAATGGAATGTGAAAATGTGTAAGAACAACTTTAATGATTCGAAAGTGTGAAGACTAAGTGAAAACCGAAACACAAAATAGCAAAAATTCGATGGGTCAAGAAACTCCGTCATTCTCCTGTTATTAACGACTTGAAAACAATTGTAAGATTTTGAAATATAGGCAAATACCATAATTGAACTTTGATGTAGGGCTTACGAACACGCCTAACAGGGCTTAGTAATTGCTTGAAACCTGCATGTACAAATTGAGACGATTTCTACCACCTTTGAATGAAGTACCATTAAAGTGCACTTTAAGAAACTTAAATAAGACTAAGCAAGAGCTTATTTACGCCTACCAAACAAATTGGAGCAGGTTTGGAGGAAAAAAAGAGTTAAGAAAGCGAACCAATGAAAAACGCCGCCTAAATCAACTTTCTACTCAACGGCCTGCAATTCTACGTTGAAAATGAGCCATAAACCCCCTCCAATCAAGAGGATTAATTGGAAGTGGCCCGTTCTGGCATATTGGACGATCTGTACTGACATTAAAAAGGATAACTCTCGTCTATAAGAAGACCCAAATACATCAAGGTGGCATAATTAGTTGAGGAATTAGCTTAGCCAATCAGCAAGTTCTAAACATATTGGAAAATAATCTCGTCCATGAATTTGGCTGCCGAGGAATTCAGTCTAAATTTTATGACATTTCACAGTGAACCGCAATTCTTATGGGATGTTGGACGGACGGCTTAATGCACCCAGAATTCCATTGAAGCAAGATTTTTAGTGTCCTAATTCCATCACAAATTTATTATTGGAAAGCTTCCATATTTCTTTCATTATTCGACTCATTTGTAGTTCTCTTTACTCAAACGTTCTGCCATAAATAAAACTTGATGAAATATCTTGACCGTGTCATTGACAAAATCTTTGTAATTCACTCCTCATATCTTATCTTATTGACGGCAAAAAACACTCATTTAAATTATTTGCATCGATTCGCTCTCTTTGGTCGCCCGAGATAAAGAAATATTATTTTTTCTGAATCAGGGGCCTATTAGTCAACAAGCAGAATTCATTGGTTTAAAAAAGAGCCTAAGAGGTCACGAATTACGCCAACCTGATAGTAAACAAGTTCGAACACAACAGCGTGCGTTCACTCATTACATTCAAAATAAAATTTGGACTGCCAATTAACAACTAAATCAAGACTGAAACTAATTTTCCAAAGTTATTTTTAAAGCGCGATATAAGTGGCAACAATACTGAATCCCCTTCGCCCTCCTCCATTGGTGCACTCTTGAGGCGACACACACAAAAACCCTGATTTCCTCCCATTCTGCTTAGTTGGCTGGATTTTATGTCTTGGTGAATACAAGCTTCGTACCGTCTAAAACTTGCATTTTGAAAAAAATAAAACACACAGATACCCCTAGACAAGTAAAGCTTAAATGGAATGTCATGGTACAGAAATTAAAGTTAAATTTGTTTCTAGATGGGTTTGCGATAGACTTACCTCCACGTAGTGCACCCTGGGCATACCGGCAAGAGTCTATAAACCGGCAGTTGACTTCTGACTTCAAACCTCCATCACCCCACTGTATGTCATATTCGTCTACTTCCACAGTACTCTTTTCTCTGCCTTTGTGCCTGTCTGTCTGTCTCTTTAACATCTGTGAATAACTCTTCTGTTCTCCCTCTCCACTTTTTCTCACTTTGATATTCCTCCTCCCCTATGTGAAGTCAGAAGTAAACTAAAGGGCCAATGATAACTATGTGAAATTAATAAATATTTGTTGCCAGAAGAGATCAAGATACAGGGTATTTATAAACCTCTCAAGAGTAAATAAATGGGATATAATTTTAGCAGGAAAATATACAACTTAATTCCCCCATTATAAATACCTTTCTTTGCTTCAAGAAAATTGATGCACGCCC